CTTGTTACCTCTCGGGAGGAGGACGCCTCCTGGGAGGCAGCGCCAGCTTCCTGGGTGCCTCAGGGCCTCCGGTGGTGCCTGTCCCTCAAGTAAACACCGGGACCCTTGACCCTGCCGTCACAGCAGTAGAAACTCTGTCTATGTTTAAAGAAACACTGGAGCGCCCTAGTGTGCCGGGGCCTGGTTTGTCAGGGCGGAGAGGGCGGAGGGCATGGCCCGGACCCCTCGTGGTCCTGGGTGTTTGCACACGGGGACCGTGGAAACAACGCTGCCATCATAAGTCTTTACACGGAGTACCGTAATGGGCGGGCTGTGCGGACGGGGGTCAAGGGTGAACCCTGGGCGTGTCTCTGGAGCTGGATTTTGGAGGCCACAGATTTGCAGTGAATCCAGACAGGTTGTTTTCATAACCTGAAAGGTCTCCAAAGAGAATTAATGTTCTTCTGCAAACAAATCCATGGATGCAGCATTCCAGGGTGTGAGGTGGTCCCCCAGTTGGCCTTAGTCAGTGCTTGTTAAAAGGATGGGCGCCAGGTGCTGTCCGCGGGCTCGTCCTTCGAGTGGGCGAGCTGCTGCCTCCAGGAGCTGCGGTCCAGTTGGGCGCTCTAGCGAGCACACTGCCCGCACGCCTCCCTACTTTACATTTCTTTATCTTTCACATTCCAAGGGCTGCATGGTCTGAAATACAGTTTTCTTCTTGCTCAATTAGGAGGCCTTTTAAAAAGACATCTCTGATATAGTTTTTAGATTAAGTTATAAATGTTCACTTTAGAACCACCTGAAGATTGATAAAGATGCATTTGAAAAGCATTATTTTTTTATTGATTCTTAATGTAGTAAATTACCGGCGTCGTTTGGCAGCAAACAGAAACGCCCATGGTGAGGTTCGCATCTGCTCTCCTGATGGTGCCACAGTTTGCATTAATTGTACTCGACTGCACTCACTTATATTAAAAGGCTTCTATGATAATTAATCCTTTTTATTTCAGATCATTTTGGCACAATTTCTAGCTATAAACACTCATAAAAGACAGACAGTTGAAAAATCCGTTCCAGGCTTTTTCCATGTACCTACCGCTACTTCCCGTGGCAGGTGGTTATTGATGGCCGCGGGAGCCAGCGTGGTCAGCTGGCTGCCATGAAGGCCAAGATGAAAAATGCTAAGTGGATTCTTTGCATAAAAAATAGACAGTTTTTGAAGTTGTATAATTAACCTGTGTTTAGAAAATACCTTGATTTATGCTTACATTTGTATTGGTTGCATACATTATGGAAATTTAATTTATAATCCATTTAGCTGATGCAATCATAGTTTTTAGTACTATCATTTATTAGTGCTTGTATATTAAATGCTCTGAAGGTTTAAAGCTGCCTTCTGTAAAAAATTATACCTAAGCATTTACATTTTATGAGTCACAGTGGGATTCTGTTTAAAATTCAGGTAGCTCGAATGTGTTTAATGAATTTCACTGGCTTATTGTTACTAATGCAGAAATGGCAAACAATGACCTTATGTATTGACCATCTGGTGATTTACACCTGCAGCTACTTCCAGTCCCTGGTACAGATGAGGCTTTCCTCAGCCCGGGCACAAGCTTGTCCCTGCAGAGTGGGCTCCGTGGCTCTGCAGCCGTGGCCTGGAGCGTAGGGCCTGGGAGTGCTGCTGATGTGTCTGAGCCACGCGCTTGAGCAGACTGGGCCACTCTGCAGCCTCGGTGGCCATGCTGTCAGTCTCCACGAAGAAATCCCTTTCTGCCATCTTTTCAAAAGTACTTGGGCCATCCTTAGTCAGAAATACAAGCCGGGACTGGCATTTCCCTGAGGTCTCAGCTGAGGGGACCATGTGGAGGTCGGAGTTCCTTGGCCACAGCCTGTCTGGAACCAGAAGCGGTGTCATTCGCCCGCCAGTGCAGGGTCCCACAGTCCTGCTAGTGGGGAGGCGGACAGGCAGGTCCCGGTGCCTGTGAGCAGCTCCGGGGTCAGGGGAAGTGGGTAACTATCCACTGCAAAACAGCTGCCTACTGTGCCCGTGTGGGAGCTGGCCGAGGACACGGCTCACTCGCACCCAGATGGATGCTGTGTCGGCTGAGCCGTCCCTCTTGCTGGGGGTTGGAGGAGCCGAGCTGCAGCGCGTTAGTGAGTTCACACACTCCTGGCTCGCTGAGCTCGTGTTTCATTTCATGTGTGTGGAAGGAAGAGTGACTTCGGAATTAGTCACGTTTTCATGGCGAAGCGTTACCTCAGGGCAAGGGCTGATTTTAAAGTTGGATGCTGTGTGCAGTGCAGTAGCATCGATCTTAAAGCAGCGGCCTGATGTGTGCGTACATCTAGCACAGCAGGTGGGAAGGAGTCTGCAAGTTCGCCACAACCCCACTCAGCAGACCTCACACCATCCTTTCTAAGGCAGGGCTCGAGCACCCCTCAGCCCCTCTGTCTGTCCTGGTGTCACTCCGTCTCAGGCAAGGGTCACAGCTGCCCCCAGACAGAGTTCATGATCATCTGAGTGCAGAGCCCCACTGACCAGGTGAGGTAGGACCCCTGCACCTCCTCTCAGCTGGTGGGTGGAGTGTTCGAGGATCGTGGAGGAACCCTGGGAGCCTGCGGGTGGCAGCCTGGCACCCGCTGGCACTCTGGAGGAGAAGCTGTTCCATTAGCACATTTTTGACCAAAGAGATGTGTTGTGGCTCCCCAGGCAGTCCTCTGTCCGAGGGAAATAATCAGAATGGTCTGGAAATTGTGATGTGGCTGGTTCCTCGCACTCTGCCGCCGTGGGCCTCAGGGGACCTAGCGCTGCGCAGACTCTCCTTCCCACCTGCTGTGCTAGAGGACCACATGCCATGTCACCCAGAACCACAGGCCATCAGGGAGACTCAAACCACGCCACGGTGAGACCCACCATGCCGCCAGGCCCGGCGAAAGCCAGCGAGCACTGCTGGCCACTGGGAGGAGGGACCAGGTGCAACCTTCCCAGGTTGCCGTCGTGGGGACAAACTCCTTGCATTTTCCAAAATAGCCTCGTGACCTAGTGCTTCCCCGTCCACAGACCTTCTCTTAGGTGTGGACTAAGGCGTGAGTGAGAGCAGGGGCTCTCGGTGGGCGCATTGGCTGCTCACAGAGCTTTGCTCACCCGGCCGCTGCAGAGCAGCCACAGGCCCGGGCAGGTGAGGGCTGCGCCTGAGGAGACGCCTAAGAACGAGTGCTGGGCAGTCCCATTGATGAAGCTCTGCACCCGGCAAAACTCGCCTATGGCTGCAGAGGCTGGGCTGGACCTGGGGTGTTGCCTCGTGTGTGGGAGGCGGGGGGTGTTCTGTGTCTCGATCGGAGAGGTCGTTACACAGCTGCTGTCAGTTGTACTTTTTTACTATATGTAATATACTTGACTATAAATAGATGCAAAAATAATTTCGTCTTGCAATCCTTAGACATAAAGGTAGACAGTAACTTAATCCTACCAGACCTGAGGCCCTGAACCTAACTGTCCCCTATACCTGGGCTCCTGAGCATTAAAGAGAAAAAACCAACATGGTATAGAAAAATGTTAGTTACATGCAAACAAGTGGTTAGACTAAGGTGGAACTTGGAGACATTGTAGAAAATAGGTCTACCTTTCATCTAGCGCCAATATTCCACCTTTGTATGGAAATTACCGAAAAATTGGTACAGCGGTCTGGTAGGGTTAAGAGTGAAACCCCATAGGCCTGGCATCAGGAGAGGTGAGTTTTGGTACCAGTTTTGCCACCTACTAACTCATACTATCTGGACAGTTCCCGGGTCCTAGGGCTCCTTCAGCTGAGACGGGGCGGGCAAGGACAGCCTGTGCTCTGAGCCTGCCCTACTCCGATGGCCAGTGTGCTGTGAGTGCTTTTCCATTCGGTGGTTGAAAACACATCTAAAGAAGAATAGTATTTCTTCAATTGGAAGTTACATGAACTTTGGTGCCCAGGTGCCCTCACTTGTCCTCACACTGTGCTCCAAAGGCTCTGGGGTGGGGGGCTGAGACGGTTGAATTGTGACCCCCCCAGAAAGATAAGCTCAAGCCCTAACACCCTGTACCTGTGAACGTGACCTCACTGTGTAGTCAAGCTCAGATGAGGGGCCTGGCATCTTTATAAGAGGAGGAGGGGAGTTTCAAACACGGCAGACACGCAGGGAAGACAGCCCTGGGGAGAGGCGGGGATGGAGGGGTACAGCTACTAGCCAGGCTTCGCTGAGGACGCCAACAACCCCAGAAGCTGGAAGAGGCAGGAGAGGTCCTTCCCCTGAGCCTTCAGGGCCCCGCGTGGCCCTGAGACCCTTGGCTTTGGGCTTCTGGCCTCCAGAAGGGTGGACAGGCCGTTTCTGTAGTTTGTGGTGCTTTGTTACGGCAGCCTTAGGAGACCAATACACCTGCAGAGCCCTTTCCGGAAAACGCTCGCCAGCCTCTGGCGGCAGGAGGGTTCGGCTCTTCCTTTCTTTCTTTTTAGCGAGAGAGGAACATGATGTGAGAGCAGAGCACCAATGGGCTGCCTGCTGCACACACCCCTACGACCCTTTGGGGCAGGGATGCTACCCAACCAACTGAGCCACACCAGCCAGGGCAGGTTTGGCCCTTAAAAATCCTGACGGGTGGCTCGGTGGGAGCATTGTCCCGTACACTAAAACATTGCAGGTTCCATCTCGTCATGGCACATACAGGAGGCAACTGATTGATATTTCTCTCTCCCTTCCTCTCTTTCTAAAATCAATAAACATATCCTTGGGTGAGGATTAAAAATGTAAAACTCCCCATTGGTATTAACATTGTATGATTTCAGCCCTAAATTCTTCGATAGTCTGTTCTAGAATTTTTGATGTACTGAATGCAAGCATTGAATGCATAGACTGGCCTGGCCCCTAGACGTTAACCGCTCGCCAAGTAGCGTGTCCTAGGAGCCTGTCGCATAGCAGTTTGGACGTGGTGTTTGTGTTTAGGGTGCGTGAGAGAACCATGAGGCTGACCGCTGGCCCTTGTCCCGTTGCAGGCTCTCTACGAAAACATGCTGGTGGAGCTGCCCTTCGCGGGCTTCTTCCTGTCCAAGCTGCTGGGCACCAGCGCCGACGTGGACATCCACCACCTGGCCTCCCTGGACCCAGAGGTTTACCGGAACCTGCTGTTCCTCAAGAGCTACGGGGGCGACGTGGAGGAGCTGGGGCTGAACTTCACCGTGGTGAACAACGACCTCGGGGAGGCCCAGGTGCGGGCGGGCTGGGCCGAGGCTTCTGCGCTGTTGGGGTACACGCCAGCGTGCCCAGGGTTCACACGCAGGCAGGTCCCGTGGCCGGAGGACTGTCTGGGTCACGTGTTACTGAACCTCCTTCTGTTAGATTTCAGGTCACCTCTGGGCTTCTCTAACTTTCGTTTGGTATTCAGACAAATGTGTCTCCAGGGAAGAGGTATTTGGCTCTTCTTATGTCAACCCATAGTCTTCTGAATCTAGCCATTGTGTTTTAACAACAAAAAGATGGTTGTCTTGCAATGTTTTTCTCTGAATCTTTGTTGTGACTGGGCCTCCGATCCAGGCTTCAGAGGTCATCAGCTTGGCCAGTGTTAAAGCAGCTGCGTAGTAAATAGGTTTGGTGTTGGGTGGACTCAGCGTTGCAAAGGCATGACTCGCACAGGTCCTCCTTCAGCCCCGCTCCCGGGCAAGGCACACGCGTCGCACTGTGCTGGACACGTCGCACACGTTCGGGTCATGCCATTTCCGTTCTCTTCATATCCTGTTACCTACATGCACTGGGCCTCGGCTTCATGTCCTCATTCACTCATGGGACATGCACGGCGCTCTGTGCCAGCCACTGTGCTGCAGGAGGTGGGCCTGTGGGAGCGCCAGCGCCAACAAGGGCAGGTGTCTGGGGCAAGACAGAGTTCAGGTGAGCTCCCGCGGAGGCCGGGAGCACACTCCGCGTGAGGCGTCCCGGGTGGGTGAGCAGACCCAGAGGGTGTGTAGCAGATGGGTAGGTGGGTGCCAAGACGTCTGGCTTTAGCCTGTGGTTCATGGAGAAGCATTGGAGGCCGTGGGCTCAGAAAGCCAGTGTCCCTTCCACAGCTGCTGCGGCGTGCCTGGGCCTGTGTGAGACTCAGAAAGGCCAGCGTGGCCTGCACACTGAAGGGTTACGGGTTCGATTCCCAGTCGAGGGCATGCACCTCAGTTGCAGTTTTGATCCCTGGCCCCAGTCAGAGCCTGAGAGGCAATCAACCAACGTGTCTCTCTCTCACTTAAATCAATCTCCCTCTCTCCTCCCCTCCTCCCTCCCAGGTGAGGGTTAACAACAACAAACAAGCATGCAGCCCCAGATGCATTTCAGACCTGGTAGGCAGTGAGCACAGGGACACAGCTCCGGCGAGGTCAGGGCGGGATCTGGAAGCAGCGTGGCTGTCCTCTGGGTCCCGTGGTTCCCGGAGTCAGAGACCTGTGACTTCCACGACGATCGTTATTTTACGTCACGTTCTGTAGGTCAGGGTCTTGAACTAAGTGTCAGAGGGGTGGGCAGGCAGGACTGTGGAACTAACTGCACAGTCCCTGGCCCTGCCACCCACTGCCTGTCTCTGAACCCGACCCTTGGAGCCCTTCGTCCAGCTGGAATCACAACATTTGTCCTTTTGTGACAGGTTCTCACTGAGCACAATGTCCTCTAGGTTTGCCATGAAGCAGGAGGTACCAGAATGTATTCCACTGAGGCTGAGCGGTACTCCGTGCCTGCCTGTGCCAGGTTGACTCAGCTGCCGATGGACATCAGCTATCTCAGGAGTCAGGGATGCACCACCAGGAACATGGCTGCGTAAATGCTTGCAGGTCCTGGCTAGCCGCCTAGATGGGGAACGTTGGGCAGACGGCAGTGCCCAAGGGCCCTGTGCTGGCCACATCCTGGTCAGCGCCTTGTTTTCTTCTCTCTCAATGACAGCCGTGCTGAGGGGTGGAGCCTCGCGCTCCCTCAGAATGAGCGATCCTGTCCCTGCACTGGCCTCCTCCCTCAGCAGAACCTTCCTCGGGTTTGTGCACGCCGGAGTGATGCCTTCCACACTGACCTAAAAGGCACGTGGAGATTTCCACATCCCAGCGTCTGAGCTTTCTGGGGCGGTTTAAACGATCATCTTTGTGGTCCCTGAGTGTTCAGTCTGTCTCTTAGCCTACTAGTATTGCAGAAATGGGTATGGGTTAACCCAAGTAGGAATAAGGGAAACAGTGCTGCCACGGCCTCCCCTTCCCACCACGCGGTCATCTTGAGGCAGTTTGGGGAGCAGACCCCAACACTGTAAGATGAAAGATGAAGACAGAACCGGTTTTTATTTGGTTGCAACTTTGTTGCTTTTATTTCATTTTCTTCCATGCCATAGAGCTGAATTCCCAACAATGCAGCATCCAGGTGTGTTTTAAAGGTGAGATTTGTCAAGTCCTAAGGACATTTGGACACATTTGGACACAGGGCTACTGCTCCCCCTAGGGGTGACTCAACAGGGCACCAAAGCCTTAGGGCAGTGGGAGGCCTGCTAATGGGAGCAGCTCCTTCTCCTTCTGAAGTGGGGGTGGGGGGGCATTCCATTAAAGCGCCAGGAGCGCTGGGTGTGTTCACAGCCAGGGGTGGCGGTAAGATGTTCCAGTTACTCCCGGAAATTCCCCGAGTAAGATTATAGATGATAGTGCATAAGAATAATGACACTGAAGCGTCTGACTGGGAAGTTTAAGGAAGTCACTGGTAAAGCCCCTGCCTGGGGGAGAGCCCGGAGCCTCGGCAGGCTCAGCTGCGGGCTGTCCTGACTTCAAGGCCCTGGGTCTGCACTCACATTTGTTTCCCTCCGTGGCGTTTCAGACTTTCACTTACACACACCTCCCTGAGGCAGTGCTCAGGCTTTACGAGGGGCCCATGTTGTGTAGAAAAACATGGACTTAAGTCAGGAGACCTTGGTGGCAGTGACCTTGGGCCAGTCAGAGGCCGTCCTCCAGCTCAAGGGGCGGAGCTGCTTTGGGGGGT